AATTCTTCCAAGTGTTTATCTTCCATTAAAACTGTAGGTCGTTCTTGTTCATGAAGCAAATTAATAATAGCCGTATGTATTTCCGCTGGTGGTGTCTTTTTGGTTATAAAGATACACTCTTTGAAGTTAACGTACGTACCACCATTAATTGGTGACCAAAATATCTTACAACCTTTTTCAGATGCAAGCTGAATCACTTTTAATCCGTATTTTGAAATTTCTACATTTTTATTTGCTGGAATTGGCCATAATCGAATGATACCTTGAAAATCCAAGGTTTTTGGTAATCTGGCTCTAGAAGATTCTTCTATATTTAAATATTCGTTAAAAAGGTTTACGTGAAGTTCTGGGAGAATATTATCCAAGATATTCTTATTTTGTGTAGCCTTCACATCACCTTTAATGACAGTTTGACTATCGCTGCCAAACACAAGACTTCTTCTATCAGATGAAAGAGCCCAACCACTTGCATGCAAATTTACTGAAAGTCCCGAAGGAATAGAAAGCGAAAGGTATGAATAAAAATTTCCATTCTGAGCTGTTTCATTTGATGTTAATGGATTTTCAGGTTTATCAGGAAGTATTACAGCTATTCCACCCCATGTACCTGTTCTATTTAACGAAATATCATTTTTTCCTGAACTTATTAACCATGTTTTCTTTTCTGTTTTCTTTTCTGTTGAACTGTTATAATACCATCTCGTTTTTTCAAATTTTTCGGAAAATTGAACATCAAGTTTAAACATTTGAGATTTTTGTCCATATAATTTACGATTTTCGCAATTTTTTGTGACTTCAACTTTCCATAAGAGTGTTGCATTACTTTCCCTACTAGTTTTTCTAAAAACTTCAAAAGATTTGATATGACGTAGAAAGATCAATTCTGACATTGCATCTTTTTTTATAACATTTAATAATTCGATAACATTGTCAATACTATCTACATTATCAGAAATAGAACTTTCTGTTCCATTTCGTCTAAGTGGCAATTTAAATAAAGTCCCTTTAAATTCCTTATTATAATCAATTTCGAATCCACATCCATTAATTTTCCTAAAAGTTTCAAACTGGTCTTCAAACTTATTGAAGATATGATCTTCATTATAATCATTAAAATCAAATCTAGCACCGCTACTATTAAGATATCTTTTTTGAGAATCAAAAATTATTAAACTCTTCCTTGATATAACTTGTGGTAAGTCTGTAAAATGATAGCAAGAATTAAATCCAACACCAAACTTTCCAATTTTATCATTTTGTGACCATTTATAACTATTTCCAAGATTACAAAGTGAATCGAAATCACTATCAGAAAATTGTTCATCATTATATATCCATATGGTAGGTCCTTGCCAACATTTCAATGTTTCATTTAATAATGTATTAGTTGAATATTCACT